ACTGGTTGCGCGGGTCGCAACCCCAGCAGCGCCGCCCCGTCATAGCGGGGCATGCGGGGCCCTTGCCCTCGTCTGTGTTCCTTCGTTAGATGCCGTCAAATGCCAGCGCGCGATTTCTTGGCGCAAGACTGCCCCCCCACCAATCCGCCTTCCCCACCCTGCCCCCTCCTGCACCCCGCCCTGCCACGACCCGCCCCTGGGGCCCCTGAAGGCCTGCGTGGCGCGTCGCGCAAGACTGGGGAATCTGCCCAGGCGCAGCCCGCCTGGGGCCGCCTGAAACCTAAATGGCCCGAGAACCCCCAAAGGTTTCATCAGCACATAGCCCCCGGCCCGCGGCGAAGACCGAAACCCGAGGAGCCAAAGGGCGGAGGGGGGGGCAGTTCTGCGATCAAGAACTCTCGCGTGGCATTTGACAACGCCACGTCCTGAGCACTACGCCAGGATATCGCGGCGAGATCATCCAGTTGTTGGGAGGAGGAAAACAGTGCAGATCCAGTTATCTTGGCCCTCCTCCCCCCCCATCGCCCTCGATAAAAATCGAGGGAGAAGAGGGGGGGAGGAGGCCCAAGAGAGCTGACCTAAACTGTTTTCCCCCTCCCAGTTGTCAGGATCGCACTCGCTGCAGTCGCCCACGTATAACAGACGAGCTTGGAGCAGACCACGCAGTTCATCCGCTTCGCCCAGAGGTCGCCCGCACTGCGAGGGCGGCAACGACTGCAGAACGCCGGCGCCTTCGATCCTTGTCAGGCCCCTCCCAGCCCCCCCATTCCCCCAACGATCTGCAGCGCGCCGCGAGAAAGCTGCCCGCCCCATGCTGCAGATCTCTGGGAGAATGGAGGGGCTGGGAGATGCGCCAAACAAAGATCGAGAACACGCGCTGCAATCGTTTCCCCCCTGGCGCCTGCAGTTACTCACGAACTTCGCCTTGGCCCGCGCCGTCAGGTTGGCGAAGAACACGGGGCGAGGTCAACATGAAGGATTGGTAACGGCTGGTCCTCGCTGCCGATGTCCAGGGACCCCGCGGGCGCGGACGTCGCCCTCGCGCCCCATGCTGAGGGCGCCGGGGCACCGAACGGAGAGCAGGCGAGAAGGCAGGGGATCGAGGGATCGGTTGGATCGGAGATCGGAGATCGGAGCGTCGGCGATCGCAGCGTCGGAGATCAGATCAGAGATCGAAGCTCGAAGGTCGGAGAACAGCGAAGATCAGAGGACGAGATCGGATATGAACGATCGAAGCTCGAAGATCGGAGATCGGAGATCGAAGCTCGAAGATCGAAGCTCGGAGATCAGAGGACGATCAGGAAGACGATCAGAGGACGACCAGAGGACGAGATCGGAGATCAGAGATCGAAGCTCGATCGAAGATCGAGACTCGAAGATCGGAGGTCAGAGGACGAGATCGGAGATCAGCGGACGAGATTGGAGCCAGATCGACGCTGGCCATCGGTCGTCATCGGAGGATGGAGGATGGAGGACGGACAGGATGGAGGATAGGAGGTGGGGAAGAGAAGAACCCTTGGTCGACCCGCCGCACGCCCTGGGGCGGCGCCCGCGCCCTGCGAGGCACGATGGCCGCGTACTTGGAGTGCTTGAACTCCTCCTTCTTCTCCTACTAATGGCCACGTCAGTAGATCCGCTGGGATAGCATTGACATCCTTGACAAATAATGTGCGCCTGAACACTGTCCTGACCTGCGGTTCGAAGGTCCTCAGGCCGCCGACCTGTCAGGCAGAAGTAAGGGCAAGAAGGGAAATGCTAGCCATCCTGCCATCCTCCTCATCTTTCATCCTATCTTTCCGCGTTTCCACCTCCCCCACCCTGCCCACCCATCCTCCCCCTCGCACTGAACGCTTACGTTTCTTACCAGAGTATGTCAACTGCTGCTGCCATCCGCCCTCCTCCTCCTCAGACAAAAAGTCCCATTCCTCGACGTCCTCATCTTTGAAGTGCTGCACCCCTCCCCCCTTAATATCTCTCATATCGCATATCTATCCGCGTGTCATCCCATCTCATCCCTCATCCATCCCCTCATCCCTCATCCCTCACCCCTCTCATCTCTCATCCCGGCCTGCGCGCCCTCGCCCAATATGTGCATGATCTGCCTCTTAGCCCACTGCGAGGTCAGAGGAATGTCCTCATCGCCAATTCCCCACAAAAGATCATCACGGAAGTTCGCGCAGGCGAACTCGCGCGGCTCAAGCGCGGGTGGGAGCGGCGCAGTCGAAGACGAAGCTGACCTTGCATCCTGTGCCCACCTCTCCTTCTCGAGAGCGTCAAGCCCCTTGAACGCGGCGCGCGCGGCCTTGCGTCTGCCTGCCAGCTCATCCTTCGCCATGTTGATGCCGTCGGGCAAAGCGCTGCGCGCCTCCGCCACCTTGGAATGCATGCAAGCGACGTGGCCTCGAGCTTTCTTTGGCTTCGCCACAGGACGCTCCACCGCAGAAGCTAAAGGAACTCCTTGCGCAAGCACGCTTTGCCTCGTGCTGCTGCCGATAGCGTTGCCGCCAGCCTTCCGACGCTGCCGACGCACCTGAGCAAGGTGCCCATTTGCGGCAATCCTCTCTGCAACAGGTGCTCCTGTAAGATCTGAAACGTTGGCGCGGACAAGCGCGAACTGCCGCTCCACGTGCATGCTAGACAACTTGCCCATCGTGGCCCACGCACGCAATACGGAACGCAACTCTTCGTCATCTAGGACTTCTTTTTCGCTTGCACAACGAAGCCGAACCTTCTGGCTGAAAGTCGTGTCCAAACAACACATCGGAACGCGATGCAACTCATGAACCACGGCAGACCGCTGCTCCTGAGTCGCAAGAGGATCGACGAGAGTAAGAAATTTGAACGGCCAATCGCCCAATGGCAACAAAAAGCGCCAATATATTTGCGCCGCCATAGATTACGAAATTGTTCTGACATCGGTAATAAAACGCAAGTGCTCCTCATGGGATCCAATCTGACACTGGCGCCATGGGGCGTTGAGAATACTCAGGTCAGAATCCAATGCCTGGCATACAATAGCAGTCATGCGAACCTGGCGGCGGGGCGAGATGGGGGGGGGGGGGGCGAGAGATGGGGAGAGGGGAGATCGGGAGGGCGTCATCCTATCATCCTCCTCGTCCCTCGCCCTCCTCCACCGCCCCGCCCTACGCATCCACTCAGCCTCCGTCTCCTCCTCCCCCCCCTCTTCTTCGCCCTGGTCCTCTTCCTGTTCCTGAGCAGAAACCAGCGCCCCAAATGCCCAAACCCTCAGAACCAAATGCCGACCCCAGAATCTAACATCTAATATCATTTAGCATTTTCACGCACAAGGAACCTGCGCCTTCACGAAAGGGTTGCGCTCAGAATCATTCGATACTTCCAATATAGTCGCCCCCGTCTCGTCAAGGTTCTGCGCCCGGTGCCGCAGCCAATCCAACGGCTCGCTCAAATAGTTCATCAATACGCAACGGCCAGATCGGTCACCCAAGAACTTCCCAACGCGGCAGACCTTCCGCTTCAAAGTTAAAGCGAAGTCCCCATCGTGATCAGGTTCTGGCTGGATGGGGGCCTCAGCTGATCCAAACGCTTTCTGCCAAACTCGCGGTAACAGCCTGTGCATCAAAACTCCGAAAGAAATCTGAGAGTTGGCCTCGGAAAACGCCCCCCCCCCCCCCCCCCCCCCCCCATCGACTCTCAGCAGGCAAACCGCCCGAACAACAGAACACATCCAAATCAAGCAGAGGCGCAACAAGACTCTCAACAACTTGTTCCCGATTGCAACAGCATCCATTACAAACGTGTGGAATGCGGCTCGCCCTGGCATTCCCATTGAGAAAAACCCAAGACCTGTCGATCAACTGTCTCTCTGCCTCCCCATGGCGGGCGGGTTGAAACGCATCGTCGACGTCAGACAGGCGCGCGCGGCAACGCAACGATTTCCTTGAGAACGCATGCTCTGAACATGCATCGGTTATGTTTCAGCCACACTTCCCGCCCCCCAGAGGACACGTCGGACAGAGACAGATAGAGCAACTCCTCCTTCACAACCTCACGCAATGAAAAGCACAAACGATTGAAACGGGATGAGACCGCGTCACGAACTTCACAGCGCACACGTCACCAGTCAGAGAAAAAGGGCCCCCCCTTCGGAGTTGAAGCAGTCGCAATTCGGTTACAATGGCGAACGCAACATCCGAATGGAACGCACAAACAATTCGATGGAAGCTTGCTGGCAGTAAACCATTGTTTTCTTCGATTCGGTTTCGCATTGTCTGGGGTGTCAGAATAAAGAACCCACCTACAAGCGTCGCACAACTCACATATCCCATCGACGTCGAATGGAGCAGGACCCTCCTCAACAGCTGTGTGATAGGTCGACGCCTTGCTGTCCCGCACGAATCTGGGCGGCACCGAGATCTCCTTCTGGCATTTCCTGCGACCGTCGACCCACGTCACGGTCAAGCGCTGGCCGATGACATCCACAATCCCAACCTTCGGCGGCGGAGGGAGGAGAGGATGGGCCGCAGCGTCGTCAAGTCTGCACGTCGTCCTTTCCACCTCAATCCAACCCTCCACCCCCCATCCTCCATCCTGGCCATCCTGATCATCCGTCCTGCCGATCGTCGCCGCTGCCGTCGGACTCCTACTATCCTCCCCCCCTCCTCCACCAGGTCCTCCTACTCCTGCTCCACCTCCCCCCCCTGCTCCTCTTCCCCCCCCCCTCCCCTCTCCCCCTGGAAATCCTGGGGAGCTCCTGGAGGCGCCCCCCAGCACCCTGCCCCTTGGACCTTGGAGACGCTGGAGCGCCCCACGCCTCTTGCCTGGAAACCCTGGGGAGCCCCCTGGAGGTCCCTGGAGAATCTGAGAGGCCCTCCTGGAGGCCGCCCCTACCGTGGGCCCCGGTGGGATAGGGCGTGGCAGATTGCAGAACAAGTCCGTAGCCATTTTGGCTCAAGCGAGCCGCGCTTCGGGAGGCCCTCGCCAGCGCGCCTGTTCCAGGCGCAGGCGCGCAAGCGGCCGCAATGTCTCGTGCTGTCACTGCTGGCGGCAAAGCCTGGGCTGCGGCGAGTGCTCGGACCCTGGCTCGGCGCCTTCGACGCGAACGGAGGGCGCAGCTCGGGAAGACGAGGGCCGCCGCTATGTCCTACCGGTTGCGTGGCCTCCGTGTCGCCCTCGACGCCCACCGGCGCCTTGGAGATCGCCTGGGCGGCCACTTTCCCACGCTGGGCGCCGCGAGCGCGGCGGCCCGCCTGGCGGGGCTCGACGACGCGGAGCTCCAGGATACAATTGACGCCCTGGAGACTGGCAACTGGTGCCGCCACGCCCCGCCGCCACGCGCGAGCGGGATGCCGCCGCCGCCTGCGGCTGTTCGGGCCGCTGTCCTCGAGTCGACGCTGAAGATGATGGCCTTTCCGCTCAACGCCGAGGCCGATCCCTTCCAGCCCCGACTTCCTGTTCATGTGAATGCAGAGCTCGCTCCTGGTTGCCAGCCACAGATGCGAGCCGCTACGACGACCTTCCTGATTTACATCATGGTGACGCTCCTGATGTTCCTGCTCCTCGAGAGCCTGCTGGTCATCGAGAGCCCGCTGGTCTTCGAGCGCCTGCTGGTCTGGAGCCTGGAAAACTCGCTGCCCGCCGAGAACCTCATGATCTTCAAGCTGTTCCTGCTGGCGACCTTCCTGAGCCGTGTCGTTTCGGACTTCCTGGTCATCTGGATCCCCCTGAAGTGGGTCTATACAACTTTCGTGGAGATCCCGCTGGTCTTCATGATGTTCCTGCTGCTCATCGAGAACCTGCTGGTCTTCATGATGTTCCTCCTCATCGAGGGCCTGCTGATCTTCGTGAGCCTGCTGGTCTTCGAGAGCCTGCTGGTCCTCGAGATCCTGGTAAACTCTTTCCTCATCGAGAGCCTGCTGGTCCTCAAGCTGCGCCTGCTGTACCTGTAGGTTTTCGTCTCGACGTCGACTTCCAGAAGGAGGCTGCGACGGTCGAGTCTGGCCCTTCTACTCACGTCGTTGCTACTGGCGCTGCTCGGCGGAGTGCTCGCGATGCCGTGGCGCACGTCTGGCTCAGAGCACCTTGTCAAGCTGTTCGTGGGAAGCGACGCGGAGGCTGTCTTGAGATTTCTCCCTAGTACCGCCCCGCTTGATTTAAGGAGTGTTAATAAAGTTAACACTCGTTGCTCTGCGTTTCGGGCCCTCGATTTTTCGTTGTCCCTGTGTGTTCGGTCGGGCCCCTCGCTCGGCTCTGTCTGGGTTCCTGGGGTCCGCCCCTCGTCTCGTTCGGCCCTTCCTTCGGCCCCCTCGCTCGTCGCTTCGGCGTCACGGGCAGGAGTGTTCGGCAGACGATTACCCGCGAGCAAATCAAAAAAAGATTGCAGAACAAGTGAACCCGCGGGCCTCCTCGACCACGCTGCTGGCATTTCTCGTACGGGACTGCCTTCCACCCGCCGTCCTCCTGAAGCTGAAGGCACCGAGCATGAGGATGCACCTCCGACGCCATGCAACTAAAAGTAGTTCTCCAAGGAGTCGTAACATAGCATAAACCAACGCATACGGAATTGCCAGCAAACTCAATATCCCACAGAGTAGACCGAAGTTGAGAACGAACGGCGCCACGATGAAGACCTGGGCAAGGGCGCCACGAACAAAACTAACAGGGGGGGGGGGGGGCAGCGCGGCGACGAGGAGGACCGACGAGGAGGACCTAGGGCGAGGAGGAGGGCGAGGAGGAGGAGGAGGAGGAGGAGGAGGAGGGGCAGCAGGGCAAGGAGGAGGAGGAGGAGGAGCGGGGAGCGGGCAGCACAGGCGAAGAGAAGGGGAGGGGCAGTGGGCGAGAAAGAGGATGAGGGGGCAGTAAGCCGCAAGCTGGTAGGGCGTGAAGGGCGAGGAGAGGTCAGCAAGGCGAGGAGGAGGAGGAGGCAGAAAGACGGGCGAGGGAATCGTCTTCGATCATCCCCAGGTGACATGCCGCACACGAAGCCGCACTCAGATTACGCCCACCGCTGGCCGTCCCCAACTCCACGCGGTCTCCGGCAGCTTGTTTTGATAATCGCTTTCCGAGCTGTCTACGTAAATATTCAATCATGCTGCAGATATTCCATTTGTTGGGGCGCGAATGCGAAACGTCACCTGAATCAAACATACTTGTTTTCAAAACCTCGGCGCGCCGATCCTTCGAACCACGAAATTGCCGCTTCAGCCCTGGAACAACCTGATCACCGCAACGAAGACCAACCATCTATTCCAACCACGGCTGAGCAATTTCAAATTCTTGCCGTCCTGGACACGCAACCTCTTCTCCTTCTTGACCTCCCGTGCCCTCCGCGCCACCGCGGCGGCCAGCTTCTTGGCGCGGGTGCTGCCGCGTCTGAAGCACCCTCGCGCCCGCAGCTCAGCCTGACGTCATAGCGTCATCGCTCGTCGCCGTCGTCGTCGGCGGCGACTCCCCCCTTTTCTCCTGCTCCTCCTGCTCCTGCTCCTGCTCCTCCTGCTCCTCCTGCTCCTCCTGCTCCTCCACCTCCTCCTCCTCCGTCTCCTCCCCCTCCTCCTCCTCCCCCTCCCCCCCCTCCCCTCCTTCTCCTCCTCCTCCTCCTCCCTCCTCCTCCTCCTCCTCCTCCTCCTCCTCCCCCTCCCCCTCCTCCTCCCCTCCTCCCTCCTCCTCCTCCTCCTTCTCCTCCTCCTCCTCCTCCTCCTCCTCCTCCTCCTCCTCCCCCCCCGCCTCCGAATCCTGGCCAATCCTCCAAGTCCCCCCCCTCCCCGTCATCACCTGCTTTCTTCTGTCCTCCTCCTTCTCCTGCCCCCTGGAGCCCGGGCTGGGAACACCTGCCCCTGCGCCGCGGCTGGGAGCGCCTGCCCCTGCGCCGGGACAGCCGCGAAGACCGCGGCGAAGTCGAAGTCGCCGTCGCCCACCGAACAGCGACGAAGAGGGTAAACAAGGAGGGCACATGGAGAGTAGGCAGTAAGGCATTTGGAAGCATTTGGGCCAGAACGCAGAAACATAGTTTCAGATACCAGAAGGGCCGAAAAGGGCGAGGGTCACACGAAAACGGGGGAGGGTCACACGAATACCAGAAATCTGCAAACGCAAAGTGACGTCGTGCGAAAGAGACAAGTGAAGCATTACTCAAGCAATTGTCCTGGCAAAAAAAACACTCGATCGATAGTTAAATATTGTGCTTGTGATATGATCGTGATTGTTGCCTTGCATGTGTGTTTGAATGTGCCGCATGCTCATTTTATGTGATTTGGTTGTTTGCGCGTGTTACATACATGTATTGTGTTGCTTTTATTTCGTGTCTTCAAGTATTGTATGTATTGTCTTTCTTGTCTTCGTATATTGTCTTTCTTGTCTTTCGTGTCTTCGTATATTGTCTGTCTTGTCTTTCTTGTCTTTCTTGTCTTTCAACTATTGTCTACCAGCGCTTCCTCCCTCAATAGAACACAGCGATTTGTAACACAACGGACTCGGTCAATATATATATATATACTAGAACCATCGCGCGCGCGCTTCGCGCGCGCTCAAGTTCTATCCTGTCCAGTGGGTCTCCTGTATGAGCTCGATCCTCCCGTTGGTGGTCATCTGCGTTAAGAAAGCGTGATTGATCATGTTATTGTGGGCAGTGGTGCTTTTGAGATACCTGACGTTCCAGCAGCCCACTTTGAGCGCGCCTGTCTGCGTGGCGTTTGAGATTGCGTCGACCAGGGCCCGTAAGGAACGGTCCCCGCAGAGATCCGCCCACGCGGGGTTATTCCAGGCGGTTGTATGCAGGTAGGCCCAGAGGGAACGCGGCCGCCGGACGGTGCAATTGCTGAGCAGCGCCAGGGCGCGGCCCAGGGAGGAGCAGGCAGCTCGCCAAGCTCTGGCTCTCGCCCCCGGAGCGAGACTTGCGAGCGGGGGAGACCCAAGGGCGCGGTGCAGCGCCCCAGGGTCTTCAGGCGAGTCTAGGGGAGCGGAGACCCGTAATCAGCGAGCTGCCGCTGCAGCATGGCTCTGACTATGTCATCTGGGAAAGGGTTCTCAGCAAGCGGCGCCCGCGGGCAGATTCTATCCGCGAAGCTGCGCGCCTGCCTCCACGCGGCCCACATGTGTCTCTCGGTCGGAGCCTCGTGATGCTGGCCGGGGATGGGTTCGTTCCTGCTCCAAGCCAGAATGGAGGTCACGAGCCGGCGTTGGAGGCACCTCGGGTCGCAATGGATCCCTACGGCATCATAGAGTCTCCTCCCTCTAATGTCCAAGGACCGATAGTAGGACCCGAGGCCCACTGCTCGAGCCCGCTCTTCGGGGGATGGGATCCTGAGTCCATGTTCTCTTCCATGTGCAAGCAGCCATCCTGCCCAGGCCTTCACCTTTCCTTCGCTGGCTAGGCTCTCCCGCTCTCTACCTTGACAGACGAGGGCCAATCCTTCTGTGCATCCTTGGAAGTTACGCTCGGCTCCAGTTTCCGCAAGTATGCTCTTGATGCCGTTCCTGGTGTCGGCGAGGGTGCGGAGGAGCCACCTGTAGCTGCTGTCCTCGCTGCACAGAATGCAAAGCGGGTGCGTCTGGTAGCTGCACGGAGCTATGGCCTCGGGGGCACTGGCGGGAGCCTTGGATTGGGTCCAGGTGGGGATGCGCCCGTCTGGTCTGTAGGTCCACCGTTTTTCCCAGGGACTGGGGAGTCGGGGATACGTGCCACGTATCACGTGGCAAGGTCCTCAGCGGGCGGGCAGTTGCTGAACCATAGGCGATCTCTCGGGCTGGCCACTGTGGGGGCGGCGTCCAAGCGGACCGCCCAGTCAGGCGGAAGCTCTCCCAGGGCCGTGCACCTAGCCTGCCTGTGCGCGGTTAGGATCGTGGCTGGGCCTTCGCAGCATATTAGGATGCGTATGTCCGGGCGGAGCCTACGAGCGATGCCCCATAGGAGTGGCACGGTAAAGAAGTGCACTGACTGAGAACATGCAAGCCCGTCAAGTCCTCCGTGTTGGCTGGCTGCGGACAGGGTGTTGCTTGGAAATCCGGCTATGATGACGAGGAGACTTCCAGGATCCAGGGTTCTAAGGTGGTCGATCCAGGGATTTCGCTCATCGTGTCCTCTAAGGAGATCCCAGGCGTCGACTCCTAGTCTAACGTGCGGGGGGGGGCCATCAAAGCCTGTAGCGTTGTCACGGTCCCACCGCCTCTCGACTCGAGAGGCCGCTTCTTCGTTACTTTCAACGAAGGCGGAGGAACTGAAACGTGGAGCCGTGCCAACTTTGGCCATGAGGTCACCAATCGCAAGTCTCGCCAGACCCCATCCATCGAAGAGTGAGACAAGGTGTAGGCTTGGTCCCAAAGCGAAACTCGGGCTCGGTCTAGGGTCGACCACTCGGGCTCTTGCTTGCTGGGTGAAATCGAACACCCAGTCGTCCCCAAGCCTGGGGTCGACGCTTGAGTGGAGCCCAAGGTGCCCCGAGATGTCCCAGGTACCGTCAGGGGAGCCGTTGGAAAAAATGCCGTCCTGTTGAAGAGTCCTGAGCGTGCTGATAATCTGCGCATTGTCCAGACCTGCGATTTGGTACGCGGCGAGCGTCGTGTCGGCGGGAGCGACTGGAGAGAGGCCGGTACGTCCGTCTCTGTGTCGTTCCCAAACCTGCTGGAGCACGTCGGCAGGCTGGGGGGCCGCGGTGGGTTCGTCTGGTGTGAACCCCGCTGGTCGGGGTCGCGGCCTGCGGATCCGTCCGCCCTCCGCGCTTGCTGGTCTGGATGCCCGTCTGGTGACGCCTCTGCCGGCGACACCGGCGGGGGTGCCTTCGCCTGTTCCCTGGCGAGAGCGCTCCCAGAGGTCGACCAGGGTCCTGGGGTTAAGTGATATGTTGCCTGGTCTGGTGGACCTTTCCCTGCTTGTGTTGCCTGCTGTTGTGGCGCGAGTTGCGCCTCGCAGTGTGGCCCTGCGTGCGCCTTCGGCCCTGCCCCGGGGGGATCGGCG